ATCAAAGTGTTGACCCCTATGCTTGGGTTGAACTCATCTATGGTCTCACGGCCTCTCCTTGGAATTTTAGAAACCATCCTTGGTCCATGTCTTCCCCTAGAATTACTTCTTGGGAAACAATTTAGAAAACTTCCACATGTTCTCCATCGAACATCATGTTAAAATGGTTTTGGTGTGGGATACCTGGTCTTTCATTAGCCATCGGTAGTGGTTTTTGATTTTCTATAGGGAAAATCACATGACCGGTATTTCCTTCTTCCACCGCTTGATTCCTAGTTGCAGTGTTTGATTTCTGATTGAATGGTCCTATCATTTGAGTTGGGACTTTCAATAATTCATGCATGTCAATACCTATTTCAAGTTCTGCACAAAACTCCTGTATTTGCATGTTTTTTTGGCCATTGGACTGGCCATTCACTGGATTCATAGATTTCACAGGACGGGTACTCGAACTTGCTTCATGACTGCCAATGACTGGCGTCATTTCTATAGTTTTGTTGGTCTCAAACATAATCTCGTCTTGCGTCTTTGTTCACACCATCTTCCTTGATCCAAGCTAGTGATGTGGTTCCACCATCTTCCTGCTTTTCCTCCTTTTTATGGCCACTACCTTCAATGGTTTTTTTATTTATTGATGGTTAATTGACTTATAACTCCTAGACAGTTATTCCTTCTTTTTAATAAAGCTATGACTGATCATCTCTCGCATTTTCTTTAGACTTTGACACATGGCGATCCTTTAATGACTTCAGGCTTGCCAACAACACATACATTGAATGTCTTTATAAATTTGTATTTTAAATGTCTTTTCACCTGCGTGACTTTTAACTATCAAAGTGATGATAATTCAACCACTAGATCTTCTGTTCTTGTACCATTTTAAACTACGAAATGAAAAATAAGAAAAGTTTACACATAATATATTTATCAATGGATGGAAAATAAAAATACGATACAAAAAGTAATATTTTGATACTAACCGAACCCTAGACATTATCTGGTCTCCAAGTAGTTCACAAAGCCTCTACATACGATCATTTTTGAGTTCTTTGAAATAACTTCCAAGTCCAAATGGCTTTTAACACAAACAGGTTTTCTACAAATATTGTTGGGAAACTTGTCTCCAGTCTAAAGATTCTGCAATGTCATTTTCAAGAATAGGCAATAAGACAACTCTTGAAGCAGCAGATCAATGTTTTTGTTGCACCAACTACTATCCACAAGGCTTGATGTGGATTGACTAGCTATAGGGCAACCTTTTTTCTTATTGGCTGAAGTAGTTATGGGCTAGTTAGCAAAATTGAGGCTGTTAATTCAATGACCTGGGTCGCTTGAGTTCGATTCAAGTTTGTTATATATATAGTAAAGTTTTGACCTTATTTAATATTCATGTCCAAAGTAATGCATCGCTTGAGCTGGATCTATTCGAGCTTATTTTTGTTTTCATGTAAATATGCAAATATTACATCTCTAGTTTGATAGATAAACAAAATAACAAAATAATACCCCTAGTTTAATAGATTAAAACATCTTATTTCTAATTAGGAGCTTGTCGATTTCAAGTGTCATTGAGCCTATGTTTTCGACTCGTGTCTGAACTCGAAGTTGAGCTCTCATATTACATAAAACGAGATGAGTCGAGTTGAACAATGGCATATGATGTAGAAACCAAATCAAGCTTGACAACCAAGCTTGGGGCAAACATGAACTAGTGATAATCAATCCAACTAAACGTTGCAATACTCGAAAGGCCTTCAAATTTTTGTTTTTGTCGTTTTGAGAAATAATTTAAAAATTAATAATAAATTATATGAAATTTCAAATTCAATGTCGTCACTTTTGTTAGATTCTAGACGACACGTGTATTTATGTTAATTAATTAGATTATAATTTCTTTTAACAAATTTCGTATAGTTAGAGATTTTGCTTCCATTATAGAACCGGTTAGTATTTTGACCATTCCTATATATATTTTTGTAATGTACAATGAGTTCTTCATTTGATAATACATATTTCTCAGGGTTTATCTCATTTTTTTTCGTAGACTCAGATCAGTGTGTCTGTTACTTTAAAAAAAAACAATAATTTCTTTATGCGTTCTCGTTTATCGCTACGTCAAATCAGCTCGATATTGGTATGATTTTTACACTCCGTCTTAAAAATGGAACTTCTTTAGCGCATAATTCTTCTACCATTGTTCACAAATGGACGTCAAAAACAAATTTATATGAGTCATGCAGTACCTGTCACACTCAACAGCTAAGTGTCCAAGGATAGAAATGATCTTTGTTTAGAATCATATTTTTTGTACTTCAAAGAATCTATTTTTTGTTTCATTGATGCTAAGAACATGAGAACAGTCTGGGGGACAAAAAGTGATGCAATGGAAGAAGGCAAAAACATACACCTAATTCAAGTTAGCTATAGCTTATGCTAACTATTTTCAGATTGAATATATACAGTTTCAAGGAATAAAATTAGAGATCTTATGAGTTTTACGTTTTTTGTCTACTACTTACATTGGTGCACCAATGAAGTACATGGTTTATATAATAAAATTACGAGTTCAAATTTGAGATCAATCACTTTGAATAAATCAACTTATCTATACAAATGATATTAAAAATTAGGTTTATATTCAACCCACGTATTCTAAATACTCCGATTAACAAAGATCAAACTAGACAATGACCATCTCCCTCCATCTATAAGCTAATGAGAAGCAGCCTCAATGCCCTCCCAATAGCAGAAACCCAAAAGGACCCCCTATCTTTGTGCTCCGAATGCAATGAGAAAAAAGAAAACCACAACTTAAGAAATTTTTTAAAAAAATTATTTTTCATTTCAAAGAGATTTGGATTTGGATTTTTCTTTTTTAACGAGTGCTTGATGTTAGTTTGCCCACAATAAAACTAAGTGGCACTCACTTTTTTAAATTTGGTCCCTACCAATATATGTTTAATAATCTAACGTTAAAAAAAATGAGAAAACATGTATTCAATGAGATTTAGATCTATTTAAAATATGATATAATAGGAGCATTCATGCATTTAGCTCGTAGTTTCACTCTTATTTTTTATTAGTAAAGAATGTATTCTCATCGTTTCAAAGAAAGATATACAATCACGACTTTTTTACTCATCTTCAGAACACTTGCTAGAGGATGGTCTGGTTGACTCTTATTTTTCTCATATGGTACTCATCACTAGAAATGAGACTCTTATTCTAATAGCACACTGGCCCATGCAGAATTTGTGTTAGATTGACAGAGTCCAGTTCACGTGAGCCAATCAATTATTTATATTACTAATAAAAGTATCTTATCATGAAAAATTTTTAATTCACTATTTTATCCTTATAAATAATTTTAAATTCCATAGTATTTGATAAGGGTAAAATTTTGGGCATGAGCCACCAACGAGCCCGAAGTCCAAAAAAAAACCAAGAGGAACGGGTGGAAAGTCCAGTGGCCCAGCATGAAACGCCTCTAATTAACCCATGACAAAGAGCTGAAAAGGAGAGGCCCAACGGGCACCCGAGAGGCAGTGGCCCAGTCCCGCCCCAATCAGGTGCCAGCTAAAGGACAATCCGAAAAGAAGGAATTGGATCTCTGCCTCGGAGTCATCCCGCCGTGCCACGGGTGCAGAGGGCAGGGGGACTATCTCTGAAACCTGCGATAGATACATCCTCACGCACGCAGAAGATGTTGGAGCATAACGCCCTAGAGATCGTGGACGCAGTGACATCGGCTGAAAAAGGCCTTTGTAGGAAAATGATAGGAGGTCTCCATAGGATCGGTAAAAGGTAGAAGAAACCGTCAGAAACCACAAAGAGAGACGACCCATATATAAATAGAATAGTGCCCTACAGAAAGGGGATCTCCGAAGAACATTTATCAACCGTGTCCATTCTATAAACTAAACACCAACCCCTGTAAAGGCCCAGCACCTGAATCCCGCCTGCATGCATCGGAGCTTTAATATATAACATTAAGGAGCAAGAGACTCCATTACAGTGGACGTACCCTCGATTTATCAACTGAGGGAACCACTTATCTTCATCGTTTTTCTCTTTGATTAGATAGTCCAATCTACCGAACCTACTCTAACACTAGATCCAATAACCTCGCATGCGTTGGGCTTAGGCTGTGATTTCCGAGACCCCATCAGTATTCTTTCATAGTTAAATATTTAAATTACTATCATGTTCTTATGTGTTTAAATATCTAAATTATCATTTCTTTTAATTTTTTATTCTCTATATTAATATATATATTGGTGAACTTCGACGGTGCGAAGAAATTTTATTAATTAAAAATTAAAAATTATACCTAGTTAGGGATATGTATGTACCTTACCCCTAGATGCAATCTAATTACACGTAATAACTGATGTAAAAAAATTAAAAGGAACCAAATGCATGCATAGTACAAAATTAATGAAATAAAAAACTACGCATACTACTATTAAAAATATGATGGCAGCTGACATGAGCCGGGAGAGAAGCTGTGAGATTGGAAGAACAGCAGCTAAGTGTGACCTAAATTGCATGAGCTGGGAGAATTAACGAGCTAAAGGCACTGAGCTAATAAGTGAGCTGATAAGAGAGTTGATATGTCTTCCAAAAGCTGAGGTGCCTTATCAGATAAGGCAGCAAACAAAGGGTTGCACTTATTGAAAGGACTTGTGGTCTTTCCAATAAGGCAACCGAATATCAGATCTGGATCCAGATTTCCAAACATGCACAAAGAGAGAAGCTCTCTTCCTAAGATCAGACGTGAAGCTTCTACAAATTTAAGAAGATAGAATCATTTATCCAATGACTACATATGTCCTTATAGCATTCATAATCCAGAGTAATAATGAGAAGACTATGATCGAAGGAAAAGATGAATATCCAGCGAAGGAGGAAGGCTAAAAGCTTAAACTGCCAATCTGCAATTAGCCATGGGGCTTTGCAGATAAGCAATTGAAAGGGAAGCGATTTGAAGAAGACCAAACTTAAGCAATTTTGCGATTGACGAAGATTCCAGCAGTCACAGGATTCAGTGCCATGAAGATCTGAAGCCTGGGCCTGAGAACCGAGGTGCAGACCAAAGCTCCCCCTTCCTGAAGAAATGAAGAAGATAGAAGTACAGCGAGAGAGATGCTAATAGTCAGAAGTTGCCGGAATCCACCGAGAGACCAACCATATCAAGGGAATTGAGATAGAAGACCCTCCTCCGGGTATCTGTACACTTCCCCACCTTGAATGCCTATGCTCCATAGAATATGCTTCTTGAATGCTTCGATTCTGAATGCCTGTATCTGATCCATAGATTATGATAAGTCCTGCTATATCCGTCTTTATATATGAAGACATTCTCCAATTATGAAAAGAGTCCAGTCCCCTAAATGAAAATGAATAGTCCATATGCATATCATAAAATCATTAGACGCTTCCTTAGAACTCGTATTTGTCTAAAATTCTGCAATATAAGCTGCTTGGTTGTCATTGGGAGACCATCTGCAACAGTATAGGTTAGAGAATTGCCATCCATCACCCCTTTGTTGGCAATCCTCTTTGAGACCTTGTCCACCAACACCTTTGAATCTGTTTCAATGACTAGTAGATAATTTGTCAAACCATCGTCCCGTAACAAACACAGACCATCCCATAACGCCCTCATCTCTGCTTCCATATTTGTATAGAAACCACAGTAGTAGGAACATGCAAGAACTAGCTGACCTCTAGAATTCCTGAGTATCACACCTCCACTTGATAGACCTGGGTTACCTTTAGAGGCCCCATCAATGTTAAGCTTCAACAAACCTTCAACTGGATATTCCCAAGAAATCCACCATGTCTTGATTTGAGCTTTTTTAGAGATAATCACATTCAGGCTATTAAACATGTCTAGTTCCTGAATAGTGTCCAATGCCTTTGGCCTAATGATATACGTCTGCAGTCTCAAAAAATGCATAACTATTTTAGATAGGGAAGTAGAATGGGATGCCTGACCTTCAAAGAACCTTCTACACATTTCCTTCCAAATCTGCTAATTGATCAGTAAAGGCAGACCTCTAATTAAAAAGTGACTAACTGAAGGATGTCTGTATATTCTAACAAATCTCATCAATCTACCAAGAGGCTCCTCCTGTGCAATTAATTGAATCCCAAACCTTGCTGAGATGCCTTTCCACACTGCCTGTGCATACTTGCATTGGACAAAGATATTGGTAGGTGATTCACAAGCCTTATAACAAAAGACAAATCTACTAGCTAGTGAGAGCCCTACTGTTTGAAATAGAGAGTCCATAGGCAATGATTTCTGCAGTAGCTTCCAACCAATCAACTGTGCACTTGGAGGCACCTTATGCTTCCAAATTGCTACAGCTTGAGCATTAAAGTGTCCTTCTGATCTTGTACTATTCCAGGCAGACTTAAGAGTAAACTTTCCATCTGAAGAATGTTGCCAAATAATCTTATCCTCTCTTGTTGAAAATTCCAACTGCACATTAGTAATCTTCTGCAACAATTGATCATCCATCAATTGATAAACCTCTCCCAATTCCCAATGTCCTTCTACAAACAACTGAGAAAGCATTGGGAAGACAGTAGCATCACAGAGTTCCTAGGAATCAATGGAACTTCACCAGTCCAATTATCACACCAAAAATCCACTGAACAACCAGAACCCACCAACACTAATGAATTACAAGAGACTAGCTCAAACAATGATGCCAAATCCCTATAACTCTTGGTATGGTTATGTGCTAAGCTAGTGAGCATATGTTAGTTTTTCAAATATTTAGCAGAGAAATGTTTGGACCAGATTGACTTACCATTAAGTAAACCCCACACCTGTTTCATTTTGAATGCTTGTTGCATATCCTCAAATTTCCTTATTCCCAATCCTCCTTCCTCCTTAGGCATAGTAATAAGTTTCCAAGAACATCAGTGTCTTTTGTTGATATTTGCTTTACCAGACCAAAGAAATGAGGCCATAACAGAGTTTAACTTAGAGATAATTCCTTTAGGCAAATTTAGGAAAGCAAGTAAATGAATAGGAATAGAGCTCAAAACTGATTGAATTAATACAATTCTACCCATATTAGACAACATCTTTGTATACCACCCTTCAAGCTTCAACTGAAATTTTCTCAACAACTTCTCAAAATAAATTAGTTTAACTCTACCTCTGATAAATGGGCAACCCAAGTATGTAAAAGGGCAATTCGTAAAGGGGATGTGAGCTGAATTAGAGAGTGAGTGCTTCCTTGCTAAGGACATCCTAGCAGAACAATGTAAAGAGCTATTAGACTGATTCACCTCCTGCCCTGAAGAAATTTCATATCTTCTCACAAACTTCAATAGCTTAGTCATTGACTTCTTATTACCTTTCAAAAATATTAGGGTATCATCTGCAAAAAGCATATGAGTCAGTTTCAGTGATTCTCTGCATGTTTGGTAGTAGTGAACCAGCCCCTGCTCATATATAAGCTTTAGTCCCTTGATCAATACCTCTTCTGCAAGTTTGAATAGACTGGGAGACAAAGGATCTCTCTGTCTAAGTCCTCTTGGCTTGGGGAAGAAACCATGCCTTGTAACATTAATAGTTAAAGTCACATATTGATTATGAAGACAATTAGAGATAATACCCAGAAATATGCCAGAAAAGCCAAAACTTATTAAGGTTTGAATCAGAAAATCCCATTCCAATCTATTAAAAGCTTTCATCATGTCCAATTTTACTTTTACATTTCCAGCCTCCACCTTCATTCACCATAGATTGAGCCAGTGCTATATTCTCTGAAATGCTCTTCCACTTCACAAAGCCTTGTTCCTCTAAAATGAGCTTAGGCAACAAAGCACTCAACCTTGAAGTTAAAATCTTTGTAAAGATCTTATATAGAAAGTTACAATGGCTTATTGGTCTAAATTCTGCAAAGGTCTTTAGATTCTCCTTCTTTGGAATAAGTGACAACAAAGTGGCATTAACTTACTTAGGCACTTCCCCACATTTAAAGAAAAAATTGGTGGCAGCTAGTAAGTTAACATTAATAATATGCCAAGCAGACTGGAAAAACTGACTTGAATACCCATCTGGGCCTGGAGTACTATAAATAGACATAGAGAAAACAATCTTCTTCAATTCTTCAATAGTGACAGGAGAGTTGAGCATACAGTTATCCTCATCATTTACAAGTTTAGGTATGAAAGAAAACAAATCCCCATCCTAGTTATGTCTTTCAGAAGTGTGAAGATTAGTGTAAAATTCCGCTGCACAGTCTGCAGCTCCTAGTTCATCTTCTAACCATTGCCCTCCTGCATTCTTTTTTCTAGAAATTTTATTCCTAGTAACTCTACTTTTGGCTAAAGCATGGAATAATTTAGTGTTTCTCTCCCCTTCCACTGTCCACCTCACATTTGCCCTTTGCCTCCAAAATATATCTTCAATCTTTAAAATTGTATCCAGCTCATCCCTAACATTCAACAAAGCCTGACCATTTGAACCATCTCTGTCAAAGTTCTCTTCAGCTTGGGGCAACTTATTTTCAAGTCTTTTAATGTTTTCTAAGAAATTTCCAAAAGATTCCTTATTCCACTTCCTCCACTATACCTTTAAGTACTTGAGTTTCACAAAGAAATTTTCAAATGGGTTTTGGAGAGTATTGACCAGCCCAGCAACTCTCCACTAGCTGCAAAAAAACCAGAGTGCTCAATCCACATATTCTGGAATTTAAAGTAGGAGATCCTGGAAACTGCAGCATTTTCAGTAAACTTAACAATGAGTGGACAGTGATCAGATTGCCCTCTCCTTGCATGCTCCACAATTGTACTCATAAACCTTTCTCTCCATTCCACATTAATCAAAGCTCTATCAAGCCTCTGCCACTTCCTTGTCATACCCTGGTGGTTGTTACACCAAGTGAATGATGAATCTATAAAGCCACAGTCCCTTAGGGTCAAAGAGTTGATAACTGTGACAAATTCATTCATAATAGTCAACCTTGGAGTAGGCCCACCCTTCCTCTCTGAGGAATAAACTATTGTATTGAAATCTCCAACAATCATCCATGGCCTCATAGATATTGGTACCCCAGCTAGATAACACCAAAGGTCCCTTCTCTGCACATGTTCACATTTAGCATAGACAAATGTAAGGATGAAAGTGGGAGACCTCAAGAAGGAAGCTTCCACAGTCAGTGCTTGCTCATGAGCAGATAAAATGTTAATCTTCAATCTTGTATCCCAAAGTATCCAAATATACTTTTCAGCTAATGGGTTTGCTAAATAGAAAGAGAACCTCAGATTTGCACATGTGCCAGGCAACCTTGCAGGACCAAGTTTTGGTTCCAAAATAGTAACTAAACAAACATCATGTAACTTAATTAACTCTTTCAATCTCAGCCTAGAGGTTTCTTGATTTGCACCTCTAACATTCCATGTGATTGTATTAATCATCTAAGATCAGTGAGAAGAGGGCTTACTAGACCTGGATCTAGTTACAATACCAAAAAATGGTGGACATTGAATGTTATTAACTGCATTACAGTTTTCTGTTGCATCAAGGTCTTGTTCATCATCCCCCATACTGGTTGAACTGACTGACAAAATCCCATCTGAATGAAACCCTTTATCTGGTGGCTCTCTAATTCTCTGTAATCCCCTATCATCATCTAGAAATTCTTTAGAACCTTCTAGGCAAACATATAGGTGATCAATTAAAAAAGTAGAATCCATAGGATCTAGTAATTGTTTATGTAATTGACATTGGCCATTAACACTCTGTTACTGGTCAGGAGGAGTGGATCCATTATTTTGTTCAACAAGTTTACCTCATCATCTTTCCCAGAAATGTTCACCTGTTGCAAAAGTCTGAGTGGTAATTGGAGGAGGGTCTGCCAATGTTATAGGGATATTCAAATCTACATTTTCCTTATCAGGAACCACTGTGTTCTATTCATAATTAATCATAGGAGTTCCCTTTGCAGTATGTCGATCAAAATTAGGAATTGAATCTTCCAAAGGGTCAGCATTATTCTCTGTAATTGATTCTTTCTGTGGTTTCCTTATTTGCTGTGTTTTTTGAACCAAATGGGATTGGTTTACTGAGGATAGATATCTTTGATTTCCTTGTCGTCTTTCCTTATTGTATTCCCTTGCTTTGTCCTTCCTTCCTATATCCAGTGGAAATCCCTGCATTTCCGTATTCTGTGCATCTTCAGCAGCCTGCAAATATGGGACTTTCCTCTTTTTGCATTCATCTTCTCCATGACCTTGCTTCTGACAGATTTTGCAGAACTTTTTAGTTTTTTCATAGATAATTTTCTGCCATCTTGCACCCTAATCTCCCATGTGCAACCACATTCTGGAAGGATTCTTAGCTAACAAGTTTACTTCCACACACACTCTTGCAATCCCAGGCCTAGCCTGTGACAATGTTGCCTGATCATAGGATTAGGCTAATACCCTGCCTATTGGCTTAACAAGCAATTGCAGATATTGTTTCTTAAAAAAATTTAATGGGAGCCCTGGTAAAGAAATCCACATTGGCACAATTGAAGGCTCTATGCCAGGAACGAATCCAGAAAACCATTTAAAGAACCTGAACAAATAGTTATCAGTCAAGGTGACATCTGTCAGCCAGAATTTCACATAGTTCTCATGTAATCAAAATCTAATAAGAACATGCCTTTGATCCATAAAACCTATCTCAAAATCTCCTTTTAAGCCCCACTTAGACCTGATAACCTTTTTAATAACACCAAGGGATGGTCGTCTGTAAGCACACTTGCCAATAAGAGCATACTGTAATGATTAGCATGAAGCTTTGACCTCTTCATTCATGAAATAGAAAGTAGGCTCTCCCTCATAAAAAAACAACTAGCTTATCAATCTTTTGAGCAGGTTCTTCTACTGCTAGAGGTCAAGTATGAAACAATGAAGCAAAGGTTGTATGATTTTTGATTGGAGAAACTTGTGGTTGTTGTTGCATGAGTTGGTTGTGTAAGATAAGAATCTGGTTGTTTTGGGGAAAGATGTATTGTTTGTGATGTTATATCTGGAGATTTTGGAGGGATATTGACTGTGTTTTGTGAAGAACTCATTGAAGGTAGAAATTCTAGAGAGAAGTAAGAGTTTTTCTCTCTAAAAAAACGATCTTAACAACTAGGCATGAAGACTTCCTATTAAATTAGCATTGGCAGCAGGGAAGGAAATAGGTAGGAACCTTTCAAAAATAAGCATTGGTTAGAATATTAATAATTATTGTTATTTTATTCAATGAATTCTAAGTTGAAACCTAATTAAATGAATTTTAAAATGAATTATTTTTATCTTTTTTCTTATAGTTAGAACAACGAATCGTTGGAAACAGACAAAATTTTTATAATTCTATAATATAATACAAGCAATAAAAACATAATTTTCATAAATTTTAGATGATATTTCCTAAAATTTTTTACTAATATTTTATATACAAAAATTATTTACATGCAACACATGTGGTGCATGACTAGTATATAAAGCATACGTAAGTAGGTTTTTTCAAGAATGATGTCAATTTATTCGAGAGTCCACATTAGTTATTAAGAATGCACTTTTTCTTTTACTAGTTGACGTACGTTTTGATTAATAATTTTCAAATATATTTTCACATATAAATAAAAGAATAAATTAAAAAAAAAGTCCACCCACAAACCATACATGCGTAGTAGGCTTACCTCAATACGCAAAGGCCAGATCCCCAAAACTAACCACGAACAGGAACAATACCACACAAGTTGATAAGTGTTTTGAGGATCAAGATTGAGGAAATACATTTCATTGAATGTTTTCAAAGCTCGGAATGAGAAAACTCTTTAGTAGTTTATCTAAGATAGAAATTAGACTTGATAGTAGTTTATTTAGGTTGCGAGAAAGCCAATGTCTTTCTTCTTATCTGACAATACACAAATTGTTATTAATTTGTGATCATAATGGTAAGATATAGCCACGATACAAGCTGGATTGAAATTCTGTTTGTAGGAGAAAAAGCGGAAAAATCTAAAATTCTGCTTTTAATCTAGTAGAGAATAAAAAGACTCTAGTTTTAGTTGTTTGTCACCACAAAATACAAAACTCTTTCATAACTTCTAAGCAACTTAAAAGAAAAGAAGCAAAGGGGTTCTCATACCTGTGAGAAAAATGGCATTGCAGACTGTGGAAATCCAAGTGACAAAAGATAGAAAGGAAAAAAAAATATAACCTGCAATATAAACAACTCTTTGCCATGCAAATTCTGATTCCTTGAAAATTTTTAAAGCAAGATAATCAACATCTAAAATACTAACAAATAGAATATCAATTTTTTAGCTTGTGAATAAAAGGTCATAATTAATATAAATATATTGAACTATGAGTGAGTACCAACAAAGCTTGTGGTTTTTAAGAGCAATTCTACATTCAAGGCATGATTGATCGGTGTTGAATATGTCTCCGATTGGTCAAGCGAGAAAGCAGAATCATATTTTTTTTTCTATCGGAGGTTTCTGAAGCCCTCGAATGTTGAATCTGAATCTCATTGATATCACTATGTCACACTCAAAAATCGAAATTTGTTGTGCTAATATCAGAATTAATTCATATAAACAAATAAATAAAATTGATTGATAATATGATAAAAGCACTTCTATATGATTCGCTAACTTGATCAGTGAATACAACTTACAATTTAGTTTTGGTTCAAAATTGTAAATCTGATTAAGAACATGAGAATTTGGTAGATCTATACTACTTATAAAAGTGGTTAACAATGAAAAACTTTTGATTTTCTTTTTTACCCTCAATTAATATAATAAAGTCCATTATATCCCTCATTACCTTTTTAACTTCTTAAATTAAATACATAAACCTATCATATTCCATGATCCTCTAAAATTAATTACATTCACAAACATATATATCTACAGTACTTATAACCCTAATTAATTTTTTATTGCCAATCATGTTCTATTGCATCATTTAACCTCCCTTCAATATTATATTATCTATCTATCTCAATACTTGTGCAAAACTTTTTGATTGAAAATAATATCCTTTAAAACATGTTAATAATCAAATAATATCATTTTTTTGTGATTTTTCACCGAACCAGAAATCTGTTTTGCAAGTTATTGTCAATTAAAGAGACATAACTCTTATAGAACCCTTGGAGTTCCATAACTCCAAGACATGGAACGGTGAGAAGTTGATTGGCTTGCCAAACTTATAAACAGATTTTCGTAAAGCATACATAGATATTATTTGTAGGTTTCAGCTAACACATCAACATGATGGAGTCCAAGCCAAAGGTTTTCCCTCTCCATTTGCAGCCACTAACCAATCCAAATATTTCTAATTCTTTTTGCTTTGTCATCTTTACCATTTTGTACTGATGCAATATGTATGTTATGACACCACCATTATTCCAAATTATCACAAGCTTTCTCTCGATATCATATTATATCTTTTAATTGGCTAACCACCATAGTTTATGTTGTTCGTGAGTATGCGCACTTTGTGTTTTTAGATTTCAACTAAAAAATTGAAATCATCATTTGTATATTGTCAGTGATATTTAATTAATTGTATGTGTATGTTTAAAGGCTTCCCATGTGACATATCTCTAATCCCATGAGGTGACTAAAATGAAAATATGAGTTTTACAAATCATTTGTTCTCTATGGTATTGCAAGGTAATTCTCAGGTATATTTAAATGCTTGAAAAAGTTATGTTCCTGAAAAAAAGCAAAAGCAAAAGCAAAGAAGAAAACTCCTAGCGATATATTTTCATGTACGAAAACAAAAATACTGTTAATATGTTGTAAGTTGAGTAGTTCTATTTATTTAGTTTTGTACATGAATTGACCAAGTTAAAATTGACATGTGAATTCAGAATCAAAAATTATTATTGTTCTTCCTACGAAATTTTCCAACATGTATCTTAGGAATCACTTAATCTGAAAGAGCAGCTTGTTATCTTAAGCACCATTGAGTTTGACTTTGTGTATTTTTTCTTGTTTGGGCCTTGTGTATTCAGATCTATTCATTAGAAGATTGCTTTTTTTTTTTTTTTTGCAATTTACATAAGAAAAATTAGTAGACATAATTATTGATATATTTGTGATCAGCAGCGTAAGATTTTAATGGCGGATTTCATTGGTGATCATATAGTTCAATTTGAAGAAAACTAAAAATCAAAATTATAACTTAAAATTATCAACATGTAACGCACGCGTGCATCAGCTAGTAGAGTCAAAAGTAAGAAGCGAATAAGAGAAAACCTGCTATGGAAGTTGGAACACTATAGAGAAAGAAAGAGTAGTAGCAAGAGAATCAGCTGAAGAGTCTCTGATAACAAAAGATCAATTGCTTAATAGGGAGAGGGAGGCATAACTTGTGTAAAAGACCAAAGACTTTTGATGCTTCTTCCTCTTGGTAGAAGAAGAAAGGGATGTCCTTAATGTAATTTAATGATGTGAAGAGCAATTGATTTAACAATGTCAAATGATTCTTGGACGTTTGGAGTCTTAGTGAATAGAATAAAATCAATTGTTAAAGCTAAAATACGTTGAATAAAATATTAAGTTTTTATATGTAATAAATTAAGATCAAAGGATATGATAGAATTTATAATGTTAATTAGAAGTAAAATAAGAAATGAAAAAAATTTCTTAAATAGTGATATTTATAAGTAGTACATAGAGTATTATAGATATAGACAATATATTAATGTTATTCAATAACTAATAGGATAATGTAGGCTTTAGTTGTTTTATTAAAGCTATTATAGTCAATCAAAAATTTTTCACTTTTGTTGACATTTTATAGTAAAATAGATATAAATATAGATTATGTTAAAAGTATAATGAGTGATTATATTATTTACAGTGGTTAAAATACAAGTGGATGATCAGAATATAACTTAGTCATTAAAATACAAATATAAGGAAAAATTCAATTACGACCTCTCTAGTTTATTATAATTTCAAGGATACACCTCTATTTTTCAAAACATCACTAGCACTACTTTTAATTTAAATTTAAACATCATTCACGCCTTCTGTCGTTAAACTGTCATTTTTAACAATTTTTTTTTTTATCTAAAATACCAAATTTAACCCTATATAAACCCAGACAATCTTTTTACATAAAATTCGTGCAAATTAAAATTTATTTTTTTTGCATATTAAAATTCGAGTTGATTAAAATTTATTTTTCTACATATTAAAATTTAAGCCAACTAAAATTTGATTCGAGCTAATTAATTTTTTTTTTACGTATTAAAATTTGAGCCGACTTGACCTCAACCCAAGTTGTTAGCGCTGATTAAAATTCGATTGTGTTGCTTAAAATTTATATTTTTTTTACTTATTAAAATGTGTGCCAGTAAAAATTTGATTTAAGTTGATTAGAAATTATTTTTTGTGAAATTTGAGTCAATTAAAATTTATATTTTTTACGTATCAGAATTAGGGCTGATTAAAATTTAATGCAAGTTGATTAAAATTCAATTCGAGCCGATTAAAAATAAATTTTAATTGGCTCGAATCAAATTTTAATTGGCCAGAATTTTAATATGTAAAAAAATGCATAAAACAAAGGGAACCTCATTGAAGATATGTCTATCTAGAGGGGTTGTAGATAAAAAATTTTCCTAAAATATATCATAGACAATTTAGTAAAATTGTATTCTAGTTTTGACCTTTAATTTGACACGGGGTGTCAGTGAAAATTCAAAAAATAGAGAAGGTGTACTTAAAGATATGATAAATTATAAAGGCGTGGCTGAAATTTTTTCTAAATATAATTAAAATGTTTTATTGTTTGGTGTTGTGGTTAAAATAAAAGTTAGTAAAAATTAAAACCAAATATAATATGAGAAACTTTTTTACCAATAAGGGCAGACACAATTTTTTTGGATTATTAAGGACACATGTTATATACTTTTTGGTAAGTAGGTCCAATAGACCCTTTATTTTTTTGATTATTTTCTATTTTGACATTTAGTGGATCACGTATATCTTTTCAAGACTTATTTTTCTTCCTTTATTTTCTCTCTCGTCTCTCCTTTCTTCTCTTTTAATTTTTCTACCCTTTCTCCTCCTTTAATTTGCCTGTCTAACTATTTCTCTCTCCTCTCTCTTCTTTAATTTTTCTCTTATCTATCTTTCATTCCATTACTTTTATCTCCTCTCTCCCATCCTTTTAATTTCTCTCTCTAATTCTAACATCCTTCTCCAATACATCATTTATTTAGATTCATTTCTCTTCTCTATATTCTATATCATTGTCAATCTCTCCTCTTTCTTCCCCTATCACTCATACTTTATTTATATTTTTCTATCCCTTTAAGTTATCTTTTTCATTCAACTATTTATCTCTTCTCTCACTTCCTTGTATTTTCTTTATTGTATCTCTTTTTTCCACCATGTATTATTGAGAGATTATGTCAATCGTTGTTTGCAAAAAATCTTCCATAGTTGTTGTAAATCCAAAGGATTCATGGGGGGTGATGTTCTTTGCGTAGCTCATATTGGCAATAGTTGTTAAATTCATTAGTAATGACCATGTGAGCTTATCTTTCTCTCCAAATTAGGACATTTTTGCTCTCTCTCTCTCTCTCTCTCTCTCTCTCTCTCTCTGTTGCTGTACACACACACATATACTAGGGGTAAGTCTGAAGACACAATAAATAAAAAGTGATTGATTTTTTTGGGAAGGGAGGGAGGGAGGAGGGGGAATTCAATGTGAATGATTTTGATAGAGATGTTGGTGGCCATTGGATGAGTTTATTTGAAAC